TAGATGATAAACACAATGAAACTCAAGTTGATTATAAAGAAAATATTTTGGTGCATCACAATCGGCCAGTACTGCATATTCGTGCAATAGTGGATATTGTTGAACGATCGAATTCGTAAACACTTGTTTTCGAAATACTCGCCAGTTTTACACGTGGTTCTATCAATTCACGTTCGTATGACCAGATTTAGATTGGCATTATCAATCGATAACCGGTATTACTTTTGACATCGATACCGTTCTCACTTTGTCCCGTGAAATTGTCCTGTGTTAACAGGTCCTGCATATCATGACACCTCCTTATTTTGCTCGTCGAATATGTTTCTGGATAAAACAAGGGTTGTTTGATCATTTCAAAACGTCCCGAATTTACTGCTTTCAATCACTGCATTGCAGATCTAAGATACCAAAACATATCATAAAAATAGTTCACACGAAGTTATCTATAGCTTAGATCACTTTCACATTTTATGTTACAGGAAATTTCCAATGAATTGCCAACGGTTCATTTGGAATCAATAGGCTTTTGGATTGTCTAGTTAGGATAAATGCGAACCCAGATGAGGATAAAAGGTGAATTTGGTAAAAAAAAAAGTGCGGCTGTATTATAAGGTAAATCAAAAAGCAAACCCCAAATGTGAGATTACTTACAGAGAAGGATTCCATGAGTAAGTAGTCCATCAAGCTTCAAAGTAGGAACACAACGAACAAGTGCACCATCGAATACTCTGCAATCAAATGGAAGCACGCTACCATAGTGTGGGAGTGGGCGTGGCGGAATAAGTGATAGACAGACAAGGAGTTGAACACGACAATGAGAAGCACCTCAGTGGACCAGTGAATCAAGGGTCACGTATGAATTGGATCGAGGACTGTATGTGCCCGATCCCACTGGTTTATGGTTGCGATACCTTTTCAACTTCAAGAGAAACTGATGTAATTTCAAGTGCATCGCACCAATACCATTCTACTGGAACCCCACAAACAGATTGGTGCTTCAGTCGTCACGTTACCGATTGGATCGGGTCTATTTGATTCCCGTCCAGTCAGTTAGTACTTTTTGAGTAATTCACCGAGTGAGGAGACATGTGGTGAAGCTGAGTAATCTAAGAATTAGCTGTATTGGGTCGGTGTTTGGCATTGATCCATGAAGTGTATTTCCCGGGTACAGTTCGTCACACAGAGCCCGTTGTTTTTACGTGTTACGGATAGATAGCTATCGAACACTGTCTTCTATGCTTAACGAGGTGATGGTGCATTGTTATCCATGTCTATTTGCGTGTAGTTTGTTACGCTTCACTGAGGATTAGCTTGATAATTGAAGAGTTTCTCTTTTTATATGTTATAGGCAACAGTGAAACAATGTAAAGGGGGACTTTCATTTCCAACAAGGATTGATTGCCCGAGTCTTGTTGAGATTACTGCTCAAGATAGACAGCCCAGCTCATGATCACTACAATTTCATTCCTGTAACGTTTCATAAGTTCATATTCCACCCAACCTACGGTTCAGATACGCAAGCAGTACGACGTCGGAGGCACAATTAACAACTTCCATTTCGCCTAGTTGCCAAGTAATTGGCCTCTTTGCTTGCAAACTTCTCATTACCAGCTGTGGTGACAACCACTGGCTATGTCACCTAGGCTGGTGATGAAATGTTTATAAGCAAGTGGTCAATTACTCGGCAAACAGGCGAAATGGAATTCCCTTCACTACCCGAGCATCTACGAGAACCGATTTTCAATGTTTTATCAATCATGGACTACATTCGATTGAATTGGGTTATCCACGTGCAAGAACATGACTGACTACCATTTTGCCTGTTCGCCGAACTTGGCAATTTGTTGGTGAACGTTTCATCGTCAGCTGAGGTGACATCACCAGTGCTTGTGATGATGCCACCTCGTCTTGTGATGAAACATTTGCAAACAAATTGCCAAGCTCCGTGAACATCCTGAATGGAAATCAGTTGACCCGAGTTGCGAGAACCAATTTCCAATAATTTGTCAACATGACTAACTGTCCAAATGAATAATGAAATGGTCAATGTGGTTGGAGCTTCATTATTACCATTTTGTTATAAAAATGAACACTACTTTTAATGGACTGTAAGTTCAGAGCAGTTGCTATGACGGTGCATGTGTGAAACATTGGTGCAAAATATATCTGCACAAAGAGAGAGAGAGAGAGGGAGCAATTGTATACCGGTTCGTTCGTTAAGCAGCGTATCAAGCACCAAACCATGATGTCATTGGTCACATACGGGGATTTCTGCAACCTGCCAAAACGCTCTCTTTATTTCACTTTTCTGTGCTGTCTGAGTACACTGATCTTATAAAATAATTGTCGTGTTTGTTCCCACTCATCGCTTGTAGCACTCATCTCTTTTATTGGGGTTTTGCAAATAAATCGGGCGCATCTTCCTCCTCCTCCTCCTCCTCCTCCCCCCTCGCCCCGTTGTCCCTTTTTTATCGTGCAGTAAAGAGGGTCTCGGATCAATGGGAAACGATGCTCCTTTGGCTTGTCTGTCGNATCCCCTGGTATTTGACTATTTTCAGCAATTGTTTGCCCAAGTAACCAATCCACCTATCGACCCATTCCGTGAGCGTATCGTGATGACTTTGGTGAGTACACAGTGAGAATACATTTTCGATATTATTTTTCCGGGTTTTTTTTT